TACAGGTGGACACATCTGTCTAGTCAATTTGAGGGCCACATGTCATGTGTGCCATGAATGTCCATCATAATGCATGCAAGTCCTACCACTGATTCCCCAGCTACAAGGAGTTGCTTTGTATGAAAATTGCTTTTTAAAGTGTAGGCTATCGTACGCGTGACATAGTTATTAAATGACTTTATTGTATACATGTAGTATTTGTTAGTGGCAATTCTGACTTATGATAATCAAATGCAGGAACAGATTATAGCCCACATGCCCACAGTGTTCTTGAACTTTGGCAAGGCTGTGGTTTTGTGCATGGATGCTTCTAACCTCTGGGGATTGAGTTGCTAGCCACCTTAAATAAAGAGTCCCTGGCAATCTGAAAGGACACTTATTTTCAGGAGGGACATGGGATTCTGTCTCTTGACCTAGTGCCACAGAGCCATTGCTGTTACCTAACAGGGGAGCTAAGGCAGCAGGTTTTCAAACTGCAGGTGTTGTTGACATCTGGGGACTGGGCAACCACCACGCTCTGCAAAGGTTTTGACCTGTGTCGCTTCAGACTCCATTTGTGGAAGAAGGCTTGCTTGCCATGAATACGTGTGACGTGCTGCGCCATCTCCCTGCTTCCCCATCCAGTCCTGTCACCCCCTCCTCCTACTCCTCCCCCGAACCCCCTGCAGCCCAGCCCTTTCACATGGGTGACCCTTAGCTGGCTTAAGAGCCTGAGCATCCATGGTGGAAGGAAATAACAAATGTAAGGTTGTGAAAGGAAGCCATTGTAGGGGGTGCAATGCAAGTCAGTGGAGACATGGGGGATGTGAATTATGTGGGCAGTGAGGGCATTAGTAAAGGGGCAGAGGCCTAGGAAGAGCCATCACTTAGACGTAGAGCTTGGACATGGAGCCAACAGGCATGGGCTTGAGACCCTTGGAAGTCACTTTGGGTCACTCACTCTCAGTTTCCACATCTATAAAATGGGCATAATTATCATCACTACCTGGAAATACTGTTATGCATATAGAACATAACCCATGTAAACCCTTCAGCATGCTGCATGCCTCCCGGGGGGTACCTAACATCAGCTCCTCCCAACCCCGCACAGTTGGGGTAGGGTGAGAAGTGCTTCATTTGGAATCAGAGTATCCGGGTGAAATTTCCACCCCCCACTATCTCATTGTGTGACCTCGGGTATGTTACTGAATCCCTTGGGCCCTCACCTGCTGAACAGCAATAACCGCCTGCCCTGTCTCCCTCTCAGGAGCTGCTGGTCTCCTTCCTGAGACCTGGATACTCACCTACTATCGGTTCCAACTGGTCATTCAGAGCCCATTTCAATGTCTTGGGGATTACTTAGCCACAAAGGGATTAAATGAAAATGATGTCACCCTCCTACAGAATGATTTTTCTATGAAGTAGATGTGGCTAGTCACGTGACGAGATTTCATAACGTGATTGCACGTTGTGGTTTTGCGTTGAGCTCCAATCTCTTCTCACCAGCATCTAGGAAACCTTCTGGCAGGTGTCATTCAGGAATATGTCTTCATTCTGGTTCTGTCTGGATTTCCCTTTCTGTTGACATCCAGGTTCTGTGAGGTTTGCTGATGCTCCACTGGGCCCTTCCCAGGACCACAGTGTCTTTGTACCCGGCCTTGGATATCAGTTTTGAGAATTCTCTTTCTTTGGAATTCTCCACTTCACACAGGAAGGATTGTCTCCATGAAGTATATTTCTATGGGAGTATCTCTCCTCTAGGACGCTCTCTCTATGGAATGACAGTACTCTGGCCAAGGAACAGGTTCTCTCTGTTTGTAGCATCTTCTCTCTCTCAGTCACCACTTCTTTCTCTGCTCCTTCCCCCTCCCACCCTGTCCCAACCAACGCCTTTCACTCTTACCCTTCAGATCTTGACGCACTCGAAAGCCCATCTTGGGACTCTCTTTAACCCCAAGCGTCAGGGCTTAATGGCCTGGTGATGGTTCCATGTCACCCTGCACTTTGCATAAATTAAAGCTTTAAAAAAAGATCTAACATCTGTCTATCATCCATCTGTCTGTCTGTCTCTCTCTCATCTATCATCTGTCCATCCACCCATCTATCTATCAATATCTATCATCTCTTTGCCTATCTATTCTACTACCTAATCTAGCTGTCATCAATCCATCCATAAATCAATATCTATCTTCTACCTATCTATCTACTATCATCTATCTATTTATCTATCTATCTATCTATCTATCTATCTATCTATCTGTCGTCTACCATCTAACACCTACACATGCATGCTACGTATATGGTTTAACACTCAAATAGAACTAGAAGGATTTTAATAGAGAAAAATAAAACCTCTGACCCACCCCTCTCCACACCAATACCTGCCCCCTAAGGGCAAACCCCTTCAAATGTTTACCTGTTTGTCTGTTATTTACCTCTATACGTTTGTAATAACCTGATTACACAGATACATATGTTACATTTACTTAGGCATTATCTATTGACTTCCCACGGCATAAAATGAAGACTGTGATTTTGTACTCTCTCCATGCACGTTTACAAATGCACAAATTTCATGTTTCCTCATTCTCCCAGAGCTGTTCAATTTTTGTCTGAATCGATATTTACTGCTGTCATGGTGAGTTTGTCAGTATTGTCCACCTGTGTCACCAGGTGTGTGACAACTGTTTCCTTTCTGCTGTAGTTTCACTGAACTAATCATAGCCTTATCTATTTTTCTTTTCTTTCTTTTTTTTTTTTTGAGGAAGATTAGCCCTGAGCTAACTACTGCCAATCTTCCTCTTTTTTGCTGAGGAAGACTGGCCCTGAGCTAACATCTGTGCCCATCTTCCTCTACTTTATAGGTGGGACGCCTACCACAGCATGGTTTTTGCCAAGCGGTGCCATGTCCGCACCCGGGATACAAATCGGCGAACCCTGGGCTGCAGAGAAGCGGCATGTGCGAACTTTAACCACCATGGCACCAGGCTGGCCCCTATTTAAGTTTCTTTGTCTGTTTTTCTGTATACCTATCATCAGTTCATCCCCAAACTCTCTTCTATATATGCCCCTCCTAATGCAGTCAGAGAATCCGGTCATCTCTTAGTACTATTTTGTTCTAGGAAACGTCCTTTCTGGAAATTTCTATACTCTTCCTTTGGTATGCACTAATTTTTCTGTAAACTACAGATGTCATCCTACAGCCTCCTTTCTTCCTGATCCTGGGAATTCCCTTCACTCCTCTCCTGTGTTGGGTTCCCCTTCCCTGCATTCCAGCTCTCCCTCGATTTTGGTTTTATTGCTTTTGTTTTGGGGACACATTCTCCAGTCATTTCTGGAGAGAGGACACAGGGCATTTCCCAAAATGTCCACATCCAACCTTCCCACTTGATGTATAGTTTGGCAGCTGGGTGTGGAATTCTAGATTAGACTAACCTTCCCTTTGAATTCTGAAGACACTGATCTGCCGTCTTCTAGCTCCCAGGGTGGCTGCTGAGAAACCTTGCCACATGATATCTGTATGATGTGAACGCCACCTGCTTGTTTTTGCTTTCTAGAAGCTTCAAGGCTCTTCCCCTTCTCTCCATTCTTCTGAAAGTGATAGTCCTTGCTGGAGTTTGTTTGCATCCCTTGCACAGGATTCTCTGACGGTTATTTTAACTTGTGTTTTGACGATTTTTTGTTCCTAAATAATGTGAGTGACTTATTTGTTTATGGAATAATTGTTTTCAATACTGAAGAATATTTCATAATTCTTTTATTTTGTGCTGTGCACAATGTAGTGGACACATGTATCATATACTTTTAAGATTAATCCGAATTATTAGCATATTCTCCATCTCTTTCTTAAATGCAGGCATTCAATAATGCAATAAAGCCTTGCTTTGTAAAAATACATCATTTTTGTTTTATATTTGTTTATGGCTTTTATTTTTTTCTCTTGAGGTAAAATTTACACTCACTGAAAGGTACAAATCTTGAAGTATACCATTTGATGAGTTTTTATTTTTTTTTAAATTGGCACCTGAGCTAACAATTGTTGCCAATTTTCTTCTTTTTTTAAATTTTCTTCCTACTTCTCCCTAAAGCCTCCCAGTACATAGTTGTATATTCTAGTCGTGAGTGCCTCTGGTTGTGCCATGTGGGATGCCACCTCAGCATGCCCTGATAAATGGTGCTACATCTGCACCAGGGATCCTAACCTGCGAAAATCTGGCCTGCTGGAGTGGAGCTCATGAACTTAACCACTCGGCCCCAGGGCTGGCCCTGCCATTTGATGAATTCTAGTCAATGCATATTTCCGTGTAAGCAAAGGTACTATCATGGTATAGAACATCCCAGCACCCTAGAAAGATCACTCATACTCCTTCTGGGTCACTCCCACTCGTACCCCCAAATCAACTGTTGTTGTGGTGTTTCACATCGTACACTAGTTTGGCCTGTTCTAGAACTGTATATCAAAGAAATAATACAATATTTTCTCCCTTGTTACCTCAGTATATTTCTAGATTTATCAGTGCTGTTGCCTGTATCAGTAGCTTGTTCCTTTATATTTCTGAGTAGTATTCCACGGTACTAAAGAGCATTATTTGTTTATCCATTGCCCTCTTAATGGACCTCTGGGTTATTTCTAGGTTGGAGTTATTATGAATAGAGATGCTATGAATATCATTGTACAATTTTTTGTGGACTTTTGCTTTTCATTTGTACTGGGTAAATATGTAGGAGTGGAATTTCTGGATCATAGGGTAGATACATGTTTCTATTTTTTCCAATATGGCTGCACCATTTTTCATTATGATTAGCTGTATATATGAGTGCCAGTTGTTCCACATCCTTACCCACATTTGGCATTGTCAGTCTTCCTAATTTTAGCCATTTTGGTGAGTATATAGTGGTATCTGCTCGTGGTTTTCATATGTATTTCCCTGCTAACTAATTATGGTGAACACTTTTTGCATGCTTATTAGCCATTCATCTATATTCTTTAACGAAATATCTGTTGTCATTTTCATTGGCAGGTGTAAAATTCACATTCGTTGAGTTGAATGAAGTTCCTCTATTGCTTCTAGAGACAGGATACCTCCTACCCTGCTTGGTGAGAATAGAACCTCATTTTTAGGTGAGTCAAACCTGGAAATGACTCCTTCATTATTCCAAAGTTCAGACTTTGTGAGACGCATCTCTGACACTGTGAAGCATGCCCTCCTACTGCGAGACTCTCTTGGGACCTGGTTCCTCGGTCGTCTCGCCCTCACTTCTCCGTAGGTTACAGGCAGGCACTCTGGGGTCTACAGTGAGCTTTGCTCTGATTTGCTCTACCTTGAATGTCTGTTCAGCACTGAGCTTTGGGGCCGGGGTTATTTTCATGTTTTCATTACAGGCTGCCACTCGATTCTCATAAGGCAAATTGGCCCCAACTCTCTTAAAAAACAAACAGCCTCTCCTAGTGCTTTGAAATAATTATCTCCAAAAGGGAATGAGGCAGCCCATCCATTGTCAGTCCTCAATGACATCATGGCTGGTGTGCAGTATTTAGAAGATTAATGACATCTGCTTTTTAAATCACGCTTGGTCGCAGACCCTGGAGCTCACATCAAACATATGGGTTATTTTGTATGCACGATGTGCAGGCAAACTCTACACAGTCAAGGCCACAGACTAGAGAAAATGCTGTAATAACAACACTTGCTTCCTTTTACTGAGGGCCCCATGTGAGATGGGCATGTACTGACCCCTTAAAGATACTATACCACTATCTACCAAAGTCAGCCTGTGGGACTGGTGTTGCTATTCTCACTTAGCTTAAAGAAAAGCTAAAGATCCAAGAGTTTAAAAACTTTAGCCAACTTACACCTGAGACTAAGTGATGAAGCCAGGATTCAAGTCCAAGTAGATATGATTCCAAACATAGCTCTTTCAACTCTCCCAACCTGTTTCCAATTTTGGATCAACAGGGCATATTCAGAGGCAAAGAGTTCACAGAACATCCATGATGAGACAGGACCATTCATCGATTTATTTAATCATCTTCCTCTGCTCGGTTAAACACATCCCGGAGAGTGGAGTTTGAGCAGAACTACGCTTTCATCCTTGGAGCAGGAGCCACATGTGTATCTTGATGTTGAGTAAAGCGACTGTCCCAGTTGTGGACAAGAGCTTGCATGAAACCTCGGCAGTCCCAGCTCCTGATCTCTCCTGACTGATACCCAAAGATGAAAATGGACGTGAACGACTGTCTGCATTTTAAAGACGTTTGTCTGAGGTTTTTTTGTTTTTCTTTTTTCTGTTGTTCAGGGTTAGAGAAATTGGCCGCCTGCCCTTAGTCTTTCAAGCAGGTTTCAATGAGCAAAGAAAGGAAACAAAGGGTAGAAAACAATGAGCACGTGCACAGTTTCTAAGTGTTTCCAGGACGAAAACGGTAGTTCAGACAACTTGAAAAGAAATGAATAAAAAAGGCCGCCATGGTACTCTTACTCGTCTCCTGAATACGACAAGAGGACCCAGAGGCTGTGCTGGGACAAGGGATTTCTCCCTAGGTCCCTAAGTGTGCGAGGCCCAAGGTCTGCCTTTGCTTGGATCTTTGGAAGGCATCTTCTCTTAGCTCCAATCCCACATTTCAGACCATCTCTCAGTTTCTTTTTCCTTTTTTTTTGAGGAAGATTAACCCTGAGCTAACTACCGCCAATCCTCCTCTTTTTACTGAGGAAGACTGACCCTGAGCTCACATCTGTGCCCATCTTCCTCTAATTGTATGTGGGACGCCTACCACAGCATGGCTTTTGCCAAGCAGTGCCACGTCCACACCCAAGATCTGAACCGGCGAACCCTGGGCACCCAAGAAGCGGAACGTGCGAACTTAACCGCTGTGCCACAAAGCCGGCCCCTCAGTTTCTTAAAAAAAATCTTAGAGGAGAAGGATGAGGGATGACAAGAGAATACTTTTAACACCTTTCTGCCCATATTACCTAAGCTATGGATACCACTGGAAGATTCACATATTTGCTTGCCAAACAAGTTATCTACTAGCTAGTGGGAGGAGAAAGGAGCAAGGAGTTAAGAGATGGTCTTGGCACCAGCCCTATCCCAGGTGCTTGGTCAGGGCCAATCACAAGATACTATGGATGGGGAGTGGGAAAATACAGGATGGACTGTGAGATCCAAAAGATGGCGCTGTGCGTCACTTTCATTCATTTCACAAATGTATATGGCGCGCCCCTCAGTGTCAGTCACAGAAGCCATAGAGCAAGATAGGCCTGATCCCTGTCTCCATGGACTTTACACTCCCGTGGAGGAGACTGATAAAAAAAAAAAAAACCCAGTAAAGGTGCAAATTAACCCAAGGATTGCGGGAAGAGTCAGGTGTTTTGAAGGGGACAAGCAAGGAAAGCTTGGGGAGCCATCTTCTGTGGCGTGGTCGGGAAGAGCTCTATGAAGAAGCAGCGTTTAGTCTGAGACCTAAAAGAAAAAAGGAGGCCAGCCGTGCAAGATGAGGGGAGAGCCTTGCAGGAAGAGGGAGAGCTTGCCCACACCTTGGCAGGAGGAGAAGGCACAGAAGGACTGAACTACAGCAGGTGTTGGGGTGCCCCAGGAGGTGAGGGGCTGGGTCGTGGGGCGCTTTGTGCAACACGGTAAGGAGGTCACATTTAATTCTGATTGCCTTGGGCAATCATTGTAACGTTTTAAGCAGGGGAATGCTATACACTAGGGGCCAGGAAATCCAACTCGCCACCTGTTTTTGTAAATAAAGTTTTATTGGCACACAGCCACATCCATTGGATAGCTGACAGTCTTCAGGGCTCTGGAGCTCCAAGGGCAGAGCTGAGTACTTCTGACAGAGACCGTATGGCCCCAAAGCCGAAGATATTTACCATCTGGCTCTTTACAGAAAAAGCACACAGAGAAAGGTCTCCATCAAAGGATCTGTGGTGAACTCAAACTCTGGGTGCATCAGTTTTCTCATTTATAAAATGAAGACCTCAGTACTCTTGAAACAGGTAAATTTTACCGTATGTAAATTCTATCTCAATAAAGTTGTTAAAAAAATGGAGATGCCAATGGTATGGATGTGATAGTGCTACACAAAGGGTTAAAAGGGACACTGAATAAAAATCACATAGCAGGTGGAAAACAGCAATCTCTGCTGCGAATACCATGACACACAGCAAGTCTTTTTCGCTTATGCACTACAGGTCAGGAAAGTTAAGTCACTAGCCCAAGGATGCACAGAACTATGGAGTGGTCGGGAAGTGCCCTCGGATTCCAGGCCTGGTCTCCGAGACCCCAGTGCTCCTTCCTGCACACAGCCCTGCCTTTAAGATCACTGTGACTTGCAAAGTCAAGTTAGGCTGAAAGGTGGAAGTGAATTGTAGGGACAGGAGGCAGTTTTGGTGAGCTGGAGGGAATTCATTTAATGTCTTTTTTTCCCCCTTTTGGTTTCAGGCTGTGTGAATTCTCGCTGCCCTGTGTTTCACTTTGAGCTGGGCGTTCATGTGAGCTCTGCACTTCGCATGAAATCTGGCCTGAATTTTGCTTGGTCGGGGGTGAGGCTGTCAGAAACCGCTGAGCTGGGCCCAGTTGCTGGGCCCCATCAAAGGTGCTGGCCAGGGCTTCCAGACCTGGGTCTAAGGCCAGCCAGCCCACAGCTTCCTCTGGGCCAGAACACAGTCAGCTCATCTTGTTTCAAGTTTCGGCTCACCTCCTTTCAAGTTTCGCTCTTGAGCAGTTCACACAGAACCTGCCCTCCCTCCCTGAGCTGGTCTTGGCTCTGAAGTGCAGGCTGAGAAATCCGTGGCCCTAGGTGAGAACCTGTGGTCTAGAACGTGGAAAGTGGACCAGACCTGGGTCTGTAAGCCAGGAGGCCTTGGGTCTTCGTCAGGCTCTGCCCTCAATTGATGGTCTGTATGGGACTCACCAAGCAAAGACACCTCTCTAAGCCTCAGTTTACCCCTCTGTGAAGTGAGGGGTTGGACTACGACCTCTAGTGTCTTTTGAGCTCTAATCTTCCATGAGGCCTGCTCTAAGGCTGAATCTTTAAGGATGAGTAGAACCTAGAGTCCCAGGTTTTAACTCTTTCTATCATTTCTAAGACCTCAAGCACACTTTCAAAATTTTTATTTCCCTCTCTCATTTTACAATGGAAGAAACAAAACTCAGAAATGCTGAAGGATTGCCCCAGGCTATCAAGGAAGTTGGTGTCAGAACAGGGACTAGAAGCCACGCTACAGGCTCCTAGAGCAGTTGTCCAAGAGCTCCACCTGAATCACACCGCCCGGTACACACTAATGCTCCCATGGCACCTTTGATTGGAGCTTTTCTTGTAAACAAAAATGAGAAAGAGGCTTCATTCATACTTATTACACCTTAGATAAATTAACAGCAATTTTCTTTGCTGCAGCCTGGCAGCTTTCCCAAACATCTGGTCCAGGCCGGGCAGGGCTGGCCCTCCGACTCGGCGGAACAGTTGGGACTGCTAAAGCTTGGAGCCTTGGGGGTCCCCCGGGATGGATGCTACCTAATGCGCTGTCTGCAGGGCTCGCTTCACTTCCACAACACCTGCCTTCCAGAGCTGAGCTGCCACTCAATCCCGGGCCAGTGGAGCATGGGAAATTGGGAACGGGGGGAGAACACAGCACTGTGGTTTGGGAGGAGATGACATGGCATCTGTGGGAAGGGGGCCCAGTGACAGGGAGGAAGAGGAGCGAGGTGGAGTGTAACATGCAGGGCTATCTGGGGGCAGTCGTGATGGTGATGGTGCTGCAGTTAAGACAGGCTGAGGTGCTAGGAGAACTCTCCCTGCCTGCTTTGTGTCCAGACACCCTGTGGTGGCTTTTCATCTCCGTGACCTCTTCTGGCTTGGGGCACCCTTTGTGGTGATGAAGGCATGTTCTGAAGTGGACAGATGAATCCAGGATGTGAGTTCTGATCCAAACTTCTTACTGACTGTAGGCAAATCACTCTACCCAACACCATACAATAGGCACCAAGCCCCTGCTGTGCTGTGCGAGGGTCTGGATGCTGAGAGACAGAACCACAGGCGACTGGATGCCTTCCTGCCAGCTGCTCATTAACTGGTTAGGCAGGAAGAGAAGGGCAGCCATTAAAAAAAAGAGTTTTTGTTATTTATAAAGCAATGAGGGGAGGAGGAGAGCAGGGAAGGGAAGAAGAGAGAAGGGAGAGAAAATTGAGAACATGCAGGGAACAGAGAAGGAACATGTAACTCTGTGAGACGTGGTGACGGGCAGGAAAGGCTCCACGGTAGATGAGTGAGCTGAGTCTCAACCCGAGGGTAGGAGTTTTAGCCAGTAAAAAAGGGAGGGATCAGCCAGACCAAATTCAATGAGTGAATTTGGAGAAATGAGAATCCACTCACCATAGTGCTCCAAAAATGTCTGCTACTAACATTGCCAAGTTATGTATGAGGCAAGAGGGACCTTAGGACAGGGTGGGCTCCCCCATTTAATTTTTCCTGTGGTGTAAATTCAATTAATTCCTATATATTGAGAATGTACCACTTGGAAAGAATTGTGCCAGGATTTTAAGGGATGGTGAAGACCATAAAGAAAAACCATCCATGGAAATCAATGGTAATTATCTACCCAATCACCACCTGGCTACCTCTTTTTTGCTAATAGACTCCAATTTTGTTGGAGGCAGCCAGGTACCCAGTCTCAGAGGGTGAATCTTGATTGGCAATAGGACAGTTGGGTCAGTCGATTTTGCTTTGCAGGAGACACACTTTCCCAGGCTCCTTTGCAGCAGGTGTGGTCACGTGACACAGTTCTGGCCAATGAGATTTCTGAGAAAACATTGTCTTTCTGATCTGTAACAGTGGCATAAATAGAGCTCCCCAGCAGACCCAAATTTTCTCTAGTTTCCAGGTACTAGTGAACCCCTATAGCCAACCCCACATAATTCTAGACCTGAGACCCGGAGATATGGGTCAGAGGCATTTTTTTTTTTTATTGAGGTATAACTGACATACTTTTATATTAGTTTCAAGTGCACAACATAATGATTAAATGTTTGTATATATTGCAAAATCATCCCCACAAGTGTAGTTAACATCCATCCCCATACATAGTTACAAGTTTTTTTTCTTGTGATAAGAGTGTTGAAGAGTCACTTTCTGAACTAGCAAATACGCAATGCAGTTTTAACTATAGTCACCATGCTGTACATTATGTCCCCAAGACTTATTTATTTTATAACTGGAAGTTTGTACCATTTGACCTCCTTCACCCATTTTACCCACCCCCAACCCTGCCTCTGGCAAGCACCAATCTGTTCTCTGTATCTATGGGCCCTGTTTTTGCAGAATTAGGACAAAACTACTCCAGCCACAAAGGTTGATTTTGAGGATTAGGTGGCCCATTGACTGTGAAAATACCTGTGTGAACTCCAAAAGTGTTTTCCAGAAATGTCATTCTTAATAATATTATGATGATATTCTCTTGACTATTCAATGTAATTATTATAATTACTATTTATAGTTTTTCTCAGTTAATTGTATTTTTGTTATATTTATGACTGTTGAACTATAATGGGATATCATCAAACCCCCGTGTTTTCTAATAGCTTTTCAAAAAACAGTTTCAGTCTTTTTCATGATATTTATGAAGTAAAAGGTGGGTGGGCATTGAATCATTTTTCGTAGATTTTTATCAATTTTATATTATTCTGTCATGCAATATTAGTTATATTTCTTTATCAAGTGATGT